CTCCCCCCCCCCCGGTTGTCTTGTGCTCTGACGGACAAAGAGACTCGTTCCCGTGTCGGGTTGAAGTGCTGAGTGTGTTGTCTTCGGCGTGTGATTGCTTGGAGACTCCCTCCGCAGAGTTGCCCCTTGCTGCCTCATTCCCTTCGAGTCGTTTGCTTTGTTTGTGCTTCGGCGCCTGGCGGACGACGACAAGGAGCCCAGGTATGACATAGACAAGTTGTGCTTGTGTGGCGTGGTGTGTCTGTGTCAGCGCGAAGACGTGTGCGAAATGCTGCCTGGGGTAGATGGATGTCGTCTGAGCGGGAGGCGGATCTCACGGATCCGGGACTTACTTGCCTGAGTCTTGCCGTTGATACGGGTTCCTTCGGGGACGCCGCCGGTGGCTTCGTAAGTGCAAGGGTACGCGCGTGGGGAGAAGAGTCGCCTCGCAGAAGACAATCCCTCGAAAGGGCTGTGAGGATCTCTGTTGAGTGGAGCTTTCCTTTGCGCCCCGTTCCCTCTGTGGTCGTCTGTGCGGCGCACCCAAGAGCCGAGCCGGGGTTGGGGCTGGCCGATGCCGAGGAGGAACTTGGGTCGGGGCCTTGACACCTCGTGAGGGTGGCTCTTCATGGCCGACCAAGAGAAGAGCGTGGAGTGGCGAGGACTGCTCTAGTGGAGGGAGCGCCTCTGAGCCGTGGTCTGGTCTGCTGTTGTAATGAAGTGATGCGCAGAAGGGCGCTTGGTCGGCAGCCTTGAGGATCTTGGCTGGCCCGCCATGTCGTCGCGCTGGGACTGATGCCGCCTGCATCCTTTCCCCAATTCGCAACGTTCCTGCAACGCTCTCGGGTGGCCTGACGATGATGAGACGCATCTCCTCCCAGCCCAGCTCGATTCGTTGGCTTCATACCCACGCATTGGCGCGGCTCTCTCTGGTGTCTCACTTTCTAGCTGAGACTCAGCCCTCCCCTTGCGTACGGAGTGAGTGGCCATGGATATTTCTATGACTGCGGCGCATGTACGCTCTCATAGAGCACCGACGGGTGGACAGGCACCGACACATCGATCGTAGATATCGATTCGAAACCCCGGCGGTATGGCCGGGGGATGCACACGACAGCTCTAGTCCTTTTCCTTCCCGCTTTAGTGGCTACCTGCATGCATAAATTCGTCTCTCTCCATCCCCCGTCATCTATTAATGTGTTACGCAGGTTTCTGCATGCTATACTAGCCCATGCACAGTGCTGCATCTAGGATGACTTCCCTCTGGCAGATGCAGCGGAGACGGTTGCATCTTCTGCTTGTGGGCATATCTATAAGACATACATATGCAGCGAAAACCCCGCCGTCTCGCTGTTCTTGGATTCATACATGTATGTCTTACATGTCGTGTGCCTTTCTGTGGTGGCAGGCTGGAAGGAGTGGCGGGACATGAGTAAAAAGAATGGATTATTTTGTCAATCTGACTGAAGAGACGTCTGAGACACGGCTTGTGAGCGATGATTGGGCTTTGTAAGCGGAAGATAGAGGTACTCTGCTTAATATGCCGACCGACCTAGGCGTCTTTGCCTACAATGGCCCTACATCGGAACATTCGGCAATTAATAAAGTATAAATACCCGAGGGTCACAGTATATATCATGTGAGCCCAGACTTGCTTCCCTTCAAGAAAAGGGGCGTTAGCAGCTGCGACACGAGAGTACACAGCTCACAAGTACCTCGTTGAGCGCCTCAAGTGGATCGACGATGAACGAGTGGTACACTTGGCACTCTTACGCAACCTACGCCAACCGCACCGGTTACGGAGGTGTAGACAATGCTGCATCCATCGCCTTTCACCTGAGCCGGAGCGGTGAAGAGAGGGGAAGTAGAGGTATATGCATGATGGAAGCGAACAGAGCGGTGTGGAATGTTGTACGAACGCTAATCCACACGTGTCTCCGAAGCCAGGCGATGTGTTGGCCGTCAAAGGACGAAGTAGCAAGCTCAAGACAGCATCACAGACACCCCGCCCTTGTGGTCTTTCATCTCCGCCCTTGTGCAAGGTGAGTTGTGCTGACTGGTGCTGACGGAGGAAAGGTTTCGGTTCTTGTCGGTTGCATTTGTTTTCCGCGCTTGTTTCCGCGTTTGAACATTTAAGTTGGAGCATCTCTTTGTTGACTGGAGCTTTCCTTTGTGTGTCGAATGTCCGAAGGTAGGCTGGGACCTTGACGTCAGAATGAGGCCCGGGTGCGAAGTGCTGCCTGGGGGGCGGACCCCACAGATCCGGATTCTTCCTTGCCTAAGGCTCGCCAAGGATATGAATGCCTCGGGTCTCTCGCTGAGGGGATGCGCCGGTGGCTGTTGCAAGTGCTACGTATACGCCCGTGGGGAGAAGAGACGCCTGGCTGACGGCAATAATGTGAAGGGCTGCGACGCCTTAGAGAGCTGCCTGCCTGGTCTGCTGCTGGAGAATGCACGGTTGGCGGCCTTGTCTTTCATGACTGATCCGCCATTTTTGTTGGAATGATGCCGCATGGATGTCATGTCTCGGCCGATGTCTGTTCATTCATGGATGTTATCAATCTACGTGCCATGAACTCGGCGAGCATCCACCTATTTACCCCATCCTAATGGCGTACAGTCTGGCGGCGGTCGATTTTGGTCGATATATGACATCGATGTCTCGTGGACTCAACCCAAATTTTTATGCCTGCAGTTCCTTCCATTTGCTGCCAGAGGACCTCAAACCAAAGTATTGGACAGCGTCAACCCCGCTTATATGGGAAATCGTTAAATGGGAAAATCCCATTTATCCGATGGCGTCTGCGAGGACCTGTCCATGACCTTCACCCCTCTGGTCGTCACCGTCGATGGGGTGTGGGGGAGGGAGGCGGAGCACTTCTTCACCCGCTTGACTGAGCAGCTGTTGACGAGGCAGGGGTGGTCAGATAGGGGGCGAGGGCGGGTGCATGGGTGGCTGCGTGCTCGTTTGTCTGTTGCATTGGTGCGGGCTGCTAGCCTGTGTTTGAGGGGCGGGAGGCAGTCATGGCGTGGTGTTGGGGCGATGGACGGGGCTGGGGTGTTCTCATCGGATGAGTGAGCGTGCCCTTTGTGCATAGGCATATGTGGATAGATTCATGGAGGCGATTTGGACAAGCGAGTGCATGGATGCCATCTGTCAATTATCTCTCCCTCTCTCAAAAAAAAAATTTATCCGATGTAAACTTTGCGCGTTTCTCGAAGCCGGTGACATTCATTCATTGTGAGAAGTCGCAATGACCTGCATGTGGTCCAGCGTGCCTCACTGATCACTGTGAACCAAATTTCACCGTCAAACGCCCACAAACAGCCGAGATCGGGGCCGCCAAAGTGGGGCCAAGCAAGCAAACGAGAAGCAGCGAAGCAAACAAGCCGCGGAGCACCATGAATGGCTTGCCTCTGAGCACATCATAGCATTTGCAGTGAGAGATCCACTCGAAAACCATCGTCAGACGAGCAGGTGGCCACCTGCGGCCCTCCTCACCAGCGGAGTGAGGAGGGCTACTCAGAGTCTCGAGAGCCTCTCCGCCTCTCTCGAGAACCGTAGACGTTATCATCGCACCGTCTGTCTCCTCTCTGCTCAGCCATGAGCTTCTTCTCCACGTTGTTCGACCTTCAAGCTTTCGACAGCGAATCATTCATTGAGTGATTTGAGTGATCTGACACCCCGTGGAAGCCTCCTCCCGTGTATTTGCAATTTTTTAAAATTACTCCTTTGATTTTTTGAGGGGTTTGGGACGGTTTAAAATGGAGATGGCTGGTTTGGAGGCGGCGAAGTGAAGAGGGTTTAAACGTGTTTTCAATGGATAAAACAAGCCTTAAAATAGCTGGAACAAGCCTCAAAATAGCCCCCCC